TTTTGAAAATTTATTATAATTTGTTATCATAATTTCATACTATATTTAACTTTATTTAATTTTATATAATTTTATTTAATTTTATATAGTTATATTTGTTATTGGTTGAAAAGGAGCGTGTGTTACGTTAAACGAAACGGGACAGGATACGTATAGTAACATAGGAGATATGATTGACAGTAAGGATAATAATAATCACACTATAAGGTAAATTTGCCTAATCGACCTGAAGAAGGCCTTTGACTGAGTACAGAATAAACAACTGATCGAATCCCAACATGCGACATAGCAAATGAAAGGAGAGGAAATAACAAACATATTATGGAAGAAAAAATTAATCAGTTTTTAGTTCCTCCTTAGTACCTCCCGTAGAGAAACGATTACAACTATCAGACCGAAGTCTTCGTCTTGTAGTTGTAATATACTTCTACTGCACTTCGTAACAAACACCTTATTTTGAGTGTACCTTGTTTTGTCTTAAATGTTTTATTTTACATTTTTTTATATTCGTTCATACTTTAAAAATAAATCTGCATAATGCTCTAGAATCCCTATGCAAAATGATGAATTTCCTACAATTATGACGTGATGAATAATATTGTTTAAATATTTTTTAGTTATCAGATTTTACAAATTACCGATTCAAATATTTTTTTAGTTTAAATTTCTAGTGATGGATGCGATTACTTTTCAAAAACATGTTACTGCTAAAAAAACAAGATAATCCACTTAGATTTTAGAAAATGACATCAGCTCGGTTATTTGCGTACTTTTCTAAAAATTCTTAAAATAAAATGTAATACTATTGTTCTTCATAGTGTTTTATAAAAGCTTAGCGTTATCCTATGTCTTCGTCTGGAGGAAATAGTTTTGCAGTCAGGACTTTTACCGATTTGCTACATGTTTTTCCAAATAAAAAGCTATTTATGACTTACTTCTCTGTGGCTTCCAAACTTTTCCATTATTTTCAATGCAATTCAAGTCAATGCAAGTTGTATTAACCAAATCTAAAAAAATAAGGTTTTTATACGTTGTGGTTAAAAGCTTTTTTGTTTCAATAGTTTTAATAACTGTATAGGTGATATATTACCTTGTAAATTCTTAAGTAAAAGTTAAAGTGTAAGTTCTTTAAATTTTTGTCCTTTCACTTTACATTGGCATGCTTTTAGTTTAAGTATAAAATTTGCTGTTATAACAGCTCAGTATTTAACTCTTTATGGATTACTAATGTAAATGTTTCTATTAACTTACTGGTGCAATATAAAACCAGTTCCTGAAATGGCGTGGGGTATCGACTAACATATATGAGATCTTCTAATCTAGATAAATCTTCAATACAATATTGTTGTATTGAAGAGATCGATGCATCGATAGAGACCGATGGAACGAGTTGGGAGAGGCCTGTGTCCAAACATGGACAACAGAAGGCTAAGAAGAATCTAGATGAGAAGCACATTGCTGTTTTAGTTACACTCTTGAACCAAATTTATAGGTCAGGCGTATTACCCAAAGAGTGGCTAACATCGATTTTTATTTGTCTCCCTAAAAAGAAAAACGCAAGAGAATGCAGCGATTACCGTACTGTTAGCTTGATGTCTCATATGCTAAAGTTATTTTTTTTATTAGAAAAAGATGTCGCATCCACCAAAAGGTCATTAGCGACGAAACAAAATATAAAAAACAAAGTTACACACCTACAGATTGTACAAAATGTTTATGGATCTAAGATAATTCACTATATTGTTATAGGAACAGTTTTGACCTAGAGCCTGTAGTAGAGCGTTTGGGATCTTGTAGCGCTGTCTTTCTTGGTCATATTTACTAAAAATTGTTAAAAAATGTTCGACCGTTAATCGGACGTTACACTGATCACATATAGGTGGATTTTTCTTTGTGAAAAGGTAGGAGTACGTTAATCTGGTATGTCCTAGGCGTAAACGCGCAACCGCAATTTGTTCTCTATTGAGCGACGATGGAAACCACTGAGACACATTATTTTTGATTTTATTTAGATTGGAATTAGTTTGAAATCACTCATTTTGCCACAAACACCACAATTTATTTTTAAAATAAGCTTCTAAGTCACTGGAAACACACTTGTCTATCGGCTTTGACAAATCACTTAAAATTGCCTCTCGTGTAGTCCTGTCAGCTTCTTCATTTCCTGTTATTCCGACGTGTGAGGAAACCCATAACAATTGGACGCTTCTTCCATGTTTATAAGAAATAATTATATCTAAAGAATATTTAGATAAAAGAAACTGTAGCATAGGGAGACGATGAAAAAATCCATTAATGTTCCATTGAAGTATCGAGTTGAATGTTGTTAACAGATTCGGAGTTAGATGATACTGATTAATTGTCTACAGAAGAGTCACTATCTAAGTCAGAAATCTCTTTCTCTAAATGGTTGTGTAGTTTCTTTTGAAGTTTTGTAAACTTGCTTTTTGTAGATCTATCATTTTCATATTGATAGCTGCTTTGTAAAAGATGGACTAAACCATCCATATTAGTTATAAATTCTTTGACGACGCTAATAGTGTCAAAGGAGCCTTGGACATTATCAATCAGAAACGACAATTGGTGGTAATTTAAAACGAATGGTGGGGTATGATTATCAATGAAATTTTCAAGAGTTTACCGTGTAGATGGGACTTTAAATAAGCGCGGTTTTTTTGCTTTAGATGGTTTGGGTTTTGCGAACAGATTTTCTGATGAAATTACTAAGTCTGAAGGAGGCGTGACGATCTCACCAATACTGCATTTTATGGAAGAACTTGCGTTTTTAATTGCTATAAGAGTTTTCACTTAGATGCTGTGGCTTTATTACATTTGGAAGTACTGAAGCAAACTCATTGGTAGTGACAGACCTCGAGCTTGAAGTTTTATTTGTAAGATTGATTAAAATAGTTGTAAGGAGCTGATAGATTGGAGGATATTGCTTCCGAAGTTTGTGAAAACGGTATTGCTACTGAATGAGGTTGATTGAAAGTGTTGTTATAAATAGGAGCGTTAGTAATTTCTTTGTCATGGAGATTTATAGGTGTAGCTAATATGCTTGGATTTGATAATGGATAACTTGATGACTGCTGGGTGTTTGGTACCTTTTGTAGTATACTTGTTGAAGCTGTTTGATTTGGTACTTCATTGTTTGACTCAATTTGAGTTGATTCCGTTACTGAACTGTTATTGCATTGGGATGATATGTGTCCTGTATTTTTGCAAATAAAGCAGGTAAATTTACCTTGTGACAAAAATATGCGGTAAGGTGTTTGATCGAAATTTATTAGAATAGAATCTGGAATTGGTGATGTTATAGAGCTTATATAAACTTGCCTCCGAAATCTCAATATGTGACTATATTCGGGGAGAGTCGAGCTAATTTTTAGAAATGATATTGGGGAAATAAGCTTTAAACCGATTTTCTCTAATTCTTCAACTAATACTTGATAAGGAATTGACGGGCAGATTTTAGACAAGACTAGTCTTTCTGTTGGAGAGACAAGTTTTCGTGCTGTTACAACTTCGCCGAGTACTTCTATAGAGCCATGTTGTGTCATGAAGTTATCTACTACGGTTTTGTTTGCCAAATATATGCAGATTCTAGTATGAGATAATCTAGATGAAAAAATAATATTTTTTGGGTTGATGACTGTGCCCAAAAGAATGAGATAATCCTGCAGTTTAGCAGTATCGATGCAATTAAATACAATTGCTTGGGTCTTACTCGAAAAAGACTGTGAAGCGGCTGATGCATAACTGTTTGTGATATTCGAACGTTGATTTACTGGACTGGTTAGATCGGACGTTGTGTTTACATTATGTGAAGTCATTTTAAGCTGTGGCGGCGAAGGCCTTACTCCGACTCTGGTAAGTTAAAAACTAACCGCATACTACTATAAGGTACTTATAACAGCTAACCTCACAAAATGATTGTACGGTAGTATATATTTATTATTGACGTTTTCTTTTCACACTGATAAAATAATAGTTACGTATAGATAACTTACGTAGTAGTATCTAGTAGATAAACAGTTTAATTTTAAAAAAGTATTTAATAAAACCACTTGTTTTTATTAAAAACTAGGAGTACAATATCAGTAGAACTTAACCATCGCTAAAGTTATTACATAAAGTCATATATAACCGAATATATCACAAACTAGACATAGACGTTAATGATAAAGAATTTGGTTTTCGCAAAGGCCTAGGAACGTGTGAAGCTCTTTTTTCAGTTAATATACTGAAACAAAGATGCCTGGACCTCAGTCAAGATATATATGCATGTTTTATTGACTATAATAAAGCATTCGATAAATAAAGTCAAAGAAGATTGACTACAACGACCTTAGGATCATATCAAATTTATACTATAAACAGCGAGCAAAGGGACGTGTTAACAAACAACTGTCAGAAGAAATAGAAATTAGATGTGAAGTGATATACGGATGCCTATTGTCTATAATCCTTTTTAATGCCTACTCCGAAGACATCCTAAAACGCTCTTGAGGGTGAAACAGCTGAAATAGAGGTAAATGGAGATGCCATTAACAGCATGAGATATGCGGACGACACTGTGATCTCAGCCGAAAACATTGAAGATCTTTAGAGACTGGTGACCAGAATAGCAGAGTATGAAAAAGAGTATGGTCTAACAATGAATGTCAAGAAGCCGAAATTCATGAGAATATCGAAAAGAAATAACTACAATCTTTTCATAAAATTTGGACAGAACATAACAGAAAGGTATAGGATTGATAACAAAAAATTCTGGACAAGAACTAAAACTCCTCTCTGTGGTATAACCATAATAATGTATGGGAATGCATAGTATTTTTTTGAGAACGGATTAGTCAGAGGTAAGCATCATGATCCCTACAATGCAAATAACTCCACCAGAATTGTTGGCTTATAAAGTTGAACCAGATCAAAGGTACGCAAAAAATATTTTATGAGGTGGAGATATTGAAAAGCTAAACCGCTTTAACGGCCATCTAAACTCTACATTGTTTTTTATTTAATTTATTTAATATAAAATATTTTACAACCAGAATGCAAAAACATAGTTCATCATTAGATCATAAAAACGGTTTTAATTAACAATTAATATTTAAATTAAAGTTTAATGTTCAAACAAAAATAAGCTGCAAAGTATGTATAATCCTGATCTGTTCATCTGGCTCAGTTGCCTCGTCAGCTATTTGAGTAATACATTTTGTTCTTTGTTGTAGTCAGTGCTGCAAAAAATAACTATTATTAATTAAAATGTTTATTTAATTCATTTTTCTATTAGACCAGGATGGATCTGTTATAAGGTGGAAGTATGTTATCATTAAGATATAATAAAATTTGTTGGAATATTAATATTGGCAGATAAAAAATCATTATAAAGTCAAACTAACCCACATTATTGTTTAAATATATATAGTGGCTGACTATATGGGTATATCGAGGACAGCAGCTTGAAGAATTGAAAATATCGCACTCTCAGTGTAAAACTGCTTTAACTCAAAATTTCATGAAAATAAAGTAATCATGGCATTCGATTGTAAACATGCATATCTATCCCCTGAAAAACTTTAGTAACTTCCAAATGCTTAACCCGCTTAATATTACAACAATTACAGTTTAACTACTTTACGTTTTTGTACATAAGTTCCGTGCAAAACTGTTGTAATTCTAATGTAATAGAGTTACAACAGTTTTGTACGAAACATTGCAATGATTTCGATAACAAGCAATGAAAGGCACAAAAAAAGTAAGCTATTTGTTGTTTTAATATCTATATCTGTGGTGTTTAATTTTAATATACAGCGTGTCTACGCAATCCATTAACGCCCAAGATAATAAATAAAGATTTACGAGACCAATCTATTCATTTAAATTTTATACCCTTGTGTGCCATTATATTTTCCATAAAATGTGTGCGATGTCGTTTGACCATAAATTAGGACTAACTATTTACAGCCAAAAAGTATTTTTTCTTATGAAAGGAAAAACACAGTTATCTAAAAACGTGCGTATTAACAATACTGACAGGATAAAAAAATCTATAAAACTTTTTCTATAAAAACTAAATCCCAAATTGTATTAAATCTTCATGTACCCTTCCGGGGCGATGGTCTTATCATATTGTCCCTCCGTAATTCCTAAATTTTACTAAGGTAGTAAATTTAAATCCTTTTGTTAATGACTGTACTCAAGCCTGAGTTGCATATCTTTATTAGTCCTTTTATTTTGAATTTAAACAATATTGAAAGTTTGACAAATAATTTTTCTACCTTGTTATGCCATTGTCATTACAAAGCCAATGAAGTGTGGATAGCAGAAACATGTGCTGAGAAAGAAATATTAAATTGCCGCTAGCCGATAAGCCGTTTTATTAGGTGCCTATTTATTGCAGGTAGCCATCTGATTTCTTGGAATCAATTAAATGTAAAGTTTAAAACCATACTAAGCCCCGATTGCTGTTAGGGATTATTTTTTCTTTACTTACCCGATGATTTATTACCATTCAGATATGATACCAGAAGCGCACCATAGTTTTTATAAAAATATTTTGGCCCAAGATTGTAACAACTATTTTGCTTACCACAGGGTAAGAATATGGGGGACAAGATTGGGCAAACAAAATAATCGAAACAAGTGCATACGGACACTCAGTTGGTTGTTGGAGAGCTGGGTCGTGGATAAGTTGAAGATATTGGGGGTTGGATTGGGGCAACTGCAAAAAAGGAAATAAAAGGTACTTATACGAATCTATTGGACAAACAGAATGAAAATAAACGGAAACACCTCAAGAAATTTAATATAGGGCGCCACTTGAGGTGCCCAATTATACCTATTACAACCACTAGTTGTAACTAAGGAAATAATTGTATAACATCAAAAATATAAAAAAAATATCTTTTTCAAATAAAACTCAAAATAGATAAGAGAAACAAATTAAACATTTATTATTGTCTCAAACAGTTTTCAAAAATACAGCTTATAAAGCAATACAACTTACAGCAACAAAGGCATATTATATATAAATAGCTGTCCAATACAAAAAAAGAACTTACATATCTGTTTACAAAAGGTTACAAAATTCTCTAAAATGGTTCCTAGTGGATAATGTGGCCAAATTTTAAGGATATCCTTTTATAAAGAATAAAATTTAATCTTTACTACAAATCAAAATAGATTAAAAATCAAACTGTCATACGTCAAAACAAACATTTTTAAAACAGGATAAAATTATGACATGACAGTTTAAACCAGGCCCTAACATAATATAATTACAAATATTTTTTTTTAAATACTTTATAAAAGAAAGCAAATTTTGTCTTTTTAAAAGAAAATGTCTATTTTTACTTTAAAAATTAATAACGTAAATGTTACCTCAGTTCACACATGTTAACTTAAACTTTTGAACAACTGGCTAATTTCTGCGGGGTATCCAACTGCACATCAACAGAAAGCTTTATTGGAAGCTGAAACTGGCACATCCAAATCAAAACTGCTCCAATATTATTCTACATGAGGTGAAAAGGGCATCTCGGAAATGAACTGGATTTCTCAAAAAACGAAAAACAAAGCAGGAACTAAACTTGTTCACTGCTCAAACATCATAAATCTTCGGCCAAAATAAAAACAGTGGTTACTGGTCACTCTTTCAGAAACGACATATTACTTAGAATGAAAATTCCACCATTTTGGCGAATGAATGCCGGCTTACCAAATCACCATTAAAACGACCTTTCGCTGCGAGCAATTATTCATCACTGCCCTCGCTGACCCTCTCGATCTCAATCTCCGGATAGTAACCCCTCTTTTCCCCGCACAAAACCATTGCCATCTTGTCAAATCAACAAATTCTTTACTCAAATTCGTTCAAAACATCCGGCGTTACTGCGCTTTAGAAAAAATAATACCCAGGTTGCAATATTTTTCTGGGAACGTTGAAGTTAAAAAGCCATAAATTGTTCTCTTTAGCAAATACGTTTTTATTTATTGAAGAATTATTGCGTATTTAAAAATCTCTACAGACAACACATTTCTAGCGTACCAGGGGCGTACTATATAGAATCGAATTTATATTATTATTTAGATATTAAATATAAAACGCTACAATGCCCCTTCTTAAAAGAAAAAACTCGGATAATTCTTATCCAGTTTTTGATAAAAGCAAAACAAACAAAAACAAAATCAGAAGATGACCTCCTAACTGAGTCGAAACTTCTTAATAATATCTTTTAGATGATGGCTAGCATGGGATTAAACAACAAAAACAAAATTAGTTACAAGAATGGGCTAGCGTGCCATCGATCGCCAGACTCTTTAAAGTCGAGTAGACTGAAATGTTTGACTCTAAAAGGAACTGTAGGTGACATGAGTTTCTATGCCTTGGGGGAAGCTAACCTTATGCCCTGCAGTGAACCTCGCTGACATTCACAGCAGTAACACAAGTGATTTGTCGGGCAGGCATAGCCATGACACCTCGTTGCCTAAACCAAGTGCTACGCACAAATCCAAAATAAATTGCTCTACACTTAACAGGTAGGCGTCTACTATCTCCACTATACGCCTAGCGAGACAGGGAATTCGGCAACGGTTCTACAAAAAAATAATTAGGACATAGACCCTAAATCTATATACCTACATATGACAAAATGTGATTCTCACATGTGTCTCCCAAATAAGATAGGTTACCTGAACTAAAATTATCAAAAGTGAAACAATATTCCAAAGGGATGAAATCAAATCAACATACAAACTCGAAAATACAGACATGGGATAGGATGAACTAATTACTTAAAGATGACATATTGTCCTCATCTGATACAAAAGGCTTTAAATCCTTAATGTGCCATTTACCAAGATCCGAACCATTTAAATCTGACAAACGATAAACCACTGGTGACAATTTTTCCTTGATAGTTGCTTCAATATACTTCGGTGCTAGTTTGGACATAAACTTGTTGACAGCACAAGACAAAACCTTATTTCTTTTCCAAACTCTATCACCCACTTGAAATTGGACTTCTCTTCTACGTAAGTTGTAACTCCTAGCGTTACGTTCATATCATTTTCGAAGATTAGCCTTAACCTTTTCAAAAACTTTATCTAAACCTTTGACTTCTGAAGCATACATGTTACGGTCACCTGGAATTATCTCGATATCTTGATTCTGTTGATCCTTATGATCAACACCATAATAGTTTCCACTTAAAGGAACATGACGGCCATAATTCAGGAAAGCTGGAGTATATCCAGTCACTTCATGCTTTGCAGTGTTAATAGCTTGTCTGATCTTTGCTAAATTCTTGTCCCAATCCACGTGGTCTTTAACATATGTACGTATGGCTGTACCAATGGTTCTATTGTTCCTCTCCACAAAATTACACTGAGGTGCATATACTGGGCTAAACCATACTTTCTGAACGTTATACCTATTACAGAGCTCAATTAAGAGAGGATTGTTCAGATTTGAGGCATTATCACAAATCACATATTGAGGAACACCAAACATTAGGAAAACATCATTTTCCAAAAACTCAACAATATTCTTAGCCGTGGCCTTTCTCATAGGTTGGACTAAAGTATATTTACTAAACCAATCAGCAACTACTAATAACCACGTATAACCTTTCTTTGAACGAACAAAGGGACCTATCAGATCTATTGCAACTATTTGCCAAGGAAACTTGGCCTCTCTCTGCTTACCCATTTTACCTAATGGAGCATAATTTGGTGTCTTCTGAGCACCACAAACTTTACATGACCTGACAAACTTAAGCACATCAACACGCATCTGGGGCCAATAATATCTTTCCTGAATACGGGACAAAGTTTTGGAAAATCCAAAGTGAGCACACGTAGGTGGCTCATGACAAGACTTCATAACTTCAGACCTTTGTGGTTTGGGCACAACAATTTTCCATTCTACATCATTAGTCTTAAAAGAATTTCTGGTAGGGGCAAACTTATAAACAAAATCATTCTCCACCTTCCACTGTGGAAAATCAAGGGGGGATCGGATTATTTTTGATCTCAAATTATCGAACCAAGGGTCTATTCTATCTAGATCAATTTCTAAATAACAAATATGGGGACGACTATCAAAATCTTTCTTTTCAAAAATTGGGTTCACTGATGACCTGTAAGGTCTATTGGACTTAGACCTATTCGAAATACAACACTTAGGACAAGAAGATGTGATCACACCTTTATGACCACAACGCCAACAAGATAC